TTGCTCACCTCTGGCCTCCTCCTACTGTCCGCCTCAGTCTCTGTTGGCTCACTCCACACTCTCCCCCAAAGCGGAATCTGACTGACTCTACTGATGCCTTCAGATCAGGCCACTTGGGTCACTGGCTGGTGTGTAGCTGGACTTGCCTTGGGTCAGAGCTTCAGTCAATGTCCAGACAGCCACGGCCAGAGAGGTGGTGTCAGACGGAACAGACGTGGCAAATGCACAGTCATGCATTATGAAAGAGTCTCACCATCAACAGAAGGAGGGGCAGAAATACCCAAAACCAAATTAGACCCAGATCTCTTATAAAGACTTGGTAGACTCCCTAAAGAAAGAAGAGATTGGCTAGATCCTTTTTCATGGTCAGCTGATGAACCCTGGACTAGGGGTAATGAAAAATAATCTATTGTTTTCATCTGAAATGTTTTTTCACATTTTCTCTTTTCAAAGGAGTGCTGATGATATAAACAGTCTGATATGGCCTTCAGCATCCAGGAATAATTAAGTCATCTTTGCAAAGTCACAGACATTAAATCAGAGACAGAGGCAGGACTAAGCCTACAGACACCTGAATCCACATTTCAAAGTAGAAATCAAAATATACCAAACATATCATCATTTTACAATATACACACACATCAAATCATCGCATTGTGCCCTTTAAACTTACATATGTTACATGTCAATAGTATCTCAAAGCTGGAAAAACAAAAAGCAACACAGTAAAAAGAAAAAACAACACACATATACATACACACACACACACACACACACACACAAACCACAGATCAGCTAAGTCCAACTATAATCGAACTCAGAAAATCTTCATCAGATTTGTTTCTCTACTATATCACAGCCCTTGTTTTTAAACATTTTGCAAGTAATTGTGAGGACGCCCGTAGCTCCAGGAACGTGAAACAAAAGGTAGGAAGTGCACTGCTGCATTTCCGAAGATAAAGATAATTAATTCCATTTCACCAACACTGAATGCATAATTAACATGGAAGCCTGGTTTTCTCTCTACTCAAGGTCACCCCCCGCATCCTATTCCGGGGAGGTCCATTCTGATTTAATACGCTTCCCCAGGGTTTTCAGTCAGGGAAACACGTCCCACGTGACCGTGGCCATCCTGTGCTTTGTGAGGCTAGGCGGGGGTCCATGGCACTCACTATGGCATCACCAGTGCCCATCAACATTCGCTGAATAAATCTGTCAAATGCCCAATGCTGCGCAAACTCTATCAGAGACGCAGGGGAACCTACCACACCTAACAGCAAGGGAGCTCATGGAGAAATCAGCCATTTGGTCACCACTGCGTGTCTGTCAGTTTCTCTCTGTAGTCCTACCCTTCAACGGTCACCCCCATTTCATCCTCATTGCCCCCAACAAGCCACCTTGAGTCCACTTTCTCTAGGTATACATTTGTCTATTCTGAACATTTCATACAAATCGAATCATGTAATATGCGGTCTTTTTGTGACTGCCTTCTTTTGCTTATCGTAATGTTTTCAAGGTTCATCCATACTATAGCATGAATGTAAGCACTTTAGCCCTTTCTAGGGCTGAATAATATTCTGGTATATAGATATACATGTTGTTGATCCATTCATCTGCTGATGGACATTTGGGTTGTTTCCACCTTTGGGCTATTGCAAATAATGCTGCTGTAAACATTTGTGTACAGCTTGGTGTGGATACCCAGGAGAATTGCTGGGTCAAATGGTAACTACGTTTAACAGATTCCTGCTACCTAATTTTGTTTTTTCCTTTTCCAAGCTCTCTGTTTCTTCTATCAGTACTGCCTACCACCCACACACGTTTTTCTTGCCTTTTCTTGAATTAAACCTCCTCAGTTCCAGTTTTTCCCCCATAAGTTATAAAGTTGTATAGTCTATATTTATTCCCTCAGTGATTTACCCTTAAATGTTGAGCCTTGAATTTTAAGCTTTAAATGTTTAATTTACATATTATTTTCGAATGAGGTCCCTCTTTATAACTTCTCCTCAAGACAGGGCAAGAAGCAGCGTGTGTTTTTCTACCCCTCTGCTCGCCCCCACCCCTCGCTGCCCTACTTCCATACTGAAATCATCTAGAATTCTAATTCCAGATCACTCTTCTGAAACATTTCCTCAATTAGGACTTATTTAGAGAGCTCGAGATTTTCCTTACCATTGCATCTCTCCACTTCCTCCTGAACTAATTTTTCTTCTGGCTGAATTACAGCCTCTAGTAGTTTTTTCAGAAAGTCTGTGGGTGGCATGCTGAGAAATCCACAGGTTTGGTAAAGCCTACATTTAAACCATGCATTTGAATGTCCCTCCTCTGATTAAAACCATGCAGTGGCTCCTGATTTTACTTGAAGTCACACTTGTTCAGCGCCACCGTGACCTGGTTCGCATTCCTCTCAGCCACACCGCTGGCCACTCACATAACCTCCTTCTACTCTCAAACCCCTGGTTCCCTGTACTTTGCTCCCCAATTTCTTTCACTTCCAAAATTAAAAAACCTTAAACTGATTGCCTTCTAAACATACTACGATGTTCAACGGTGGTTTGCTCGCAGATCAGTCCCC